TTTCGATGTTTTATTTTAGCTAAAACTTTCTATATTGAGGTTAGTTTACGATCTTAGTCAAATATTTTGCTTGAAATAAACTACGGGAAATTAATTATGCTGCCAGGCTTTGAAATATTCATTAATAAAAATCTGCAAAACACTTAGGATGTGTGTTAAAATAAATTAAAGTATATGCAATTTGCTACAAAACTACTGTTAGAACCATGTATGTAGCGTGCTCCAGTGGCGCTGCCATAATGCCATTTGACTATGCAACTAGCGACGTAACTTACTATATTACTGGGAAGGATGGAAACTTTCGCCTCATTTTTCAACATGTTGACAAATTAAAACACAAATTACTATAGTAAAACGGCACGTCGACTGCTAAATGCCTACCGTAGGTTTAAGTTAAATAATCAAATTATACTTTCATAATAGAAATAATGCTGAATTCAAAAGAAAGCGCTGGAAAAACGTACACAAAACGTACGTAAATTTGCCGAAATTTTCGTGAATACATGCGGGATGTAAGTACCTAACCAAAATGGTGGCGGCAGAAGAATCTGATTGGTCGAGAAAAGTAAACAAAGTATGATCGACTAATCAGATTGGTCGAGAAAGGTAAACAAAGAATGATCGACCAATCAGATTCTTCTGCCGGCCGCCATTTTGGGTAGGTACTTACATCCCGCATGTATTCACGAAAATTTCGGCAAATTTACAAGGTTTGTGTACGTTTTTCCAGCGCGTTCTCTTCAACATGTTGAAAATTGAGGCGAGAGTTTCCATCCTTCCCAATAATATAGTAAGTTACGTCGCTAGTTGCATAGTCAAATGGCAGCGCCACTGGAGCACGCTACATACATGGTCCTAACAGTATTTTTGTAGAAAATTAAATTGCATATACTTTAATTCATTTTAACACATATCTCAAGTGTTTTACGGATTTTTATTGACTTCAACTCATTTGTCTGGGCTTCCTATGGACTATCGAGTAAACTCGAGTCCGTACGTACATGGGCGGTTATGTCTTATGAGCCGTTAACATTGGATTAGAAAACATTTCGTGCTAGGCCTCTCACGCCGGTTTCATTCGGTGACGTCACAGATTTTTAATACACGCGCAATGAGGCCTAGGAACTAGGCTGATTAGTTCATATTATGAGAAAGGACTCGGTTCTAACTCGGAAAACTTAGCTTCAAATATCTAGTTCCGGGTATAGCAACTGCACTAACTGCACTAACATAGCACAATAACACTTCTTCGGGTTATTTCAGCCGCTGAATTCTAATTTGATGAGGTTACTTTCATTTGATTTGCTTCAATCAAGACTTTATTTGGGATATGGATTGGTTTGTGGGCTCTCGTATGAAATCTCAAGTGCAAGACGTAGAATTTGGTGGGTATATTCATAGGCAGCCCAATGGCGAATGGTTTTATTTGATTTAAAAATGTACACTTTGATGAAATTCACACATATGTCATTTATTTATATGCTAATATACTTTTGTTACTTAGCCTACAACGGGCGACTTGCGTGTCTGAGAAGGCAATGTAGGTAGCTATTATATATATAATATATACTAAGGTAGGCAACTTCAATCACAGTATTCACATCGACACACGGAAACAATCCGAAAATACTTCAATTTATCCCTAAAACTAAGCTAAAATAACAACAGAAATGAAATCTACGATAATTTTACTATACACTGACTATATTCTAATATTGAAAACAAATTATGGAAGCGAGAAAAAAGCGAAAAGTTTTTGATATTTTACTCATTTTTTGAATGTGCCGATGCTGGACCCGCGCTGTTGACTTCTGAGAACGTTTGAAAATGACGAATACGTAATCTCATTGGCTGTTTTTTGTTCTCGCTGTGACAGTCTACTTGGGTCATAATAATAGACCAAGTAGGCTCGTGTACACGCGCGAGCGCCACGAGAACGAAAAAATGTCTGGGCTGCCTATATGATATATATATATATATATATATAATTATATATATATATATATATATATATATATATATATAAAATAAATATATACTATATAATGCCTACATTGTCTGAACACTGTCAGGCACGCGAGTCGCCCGTTGTGTAATACACAGGATGGCAGGATTTTAGTTAGCATGAATAATGATACATGTTTCAGTTTAATCAAAATACGGATAGCTTTGTTCTAATTTTCAATGTTTTACTTTTAGTGCACTTTTATTTGAAATAAAACCATTCGCCATTGGGCTGCCTATGGTATATTTGGTATATTATAGTGCAGTATTAGTAATTGAGAGGCACAAATTATCACTATGAAGGCATATATAGAAACTGGTGTCGTCTGATAAATTATTTGAAGCAATATTTTGTCTTAGACCTGCTGATCGCGTCTGTTTAGCGACAAGGGCAGACTTATCTTCACAGAAAGATAAACTGGCAGCAAATTCTCGTTTTTACACCCTAAATTACTATCACGTTTGTAACAAGATGACTGGCGCCGCACGAATGTTAACCTCACATTAAATTAATGCCATTCTCAGTTCACGGTTTTCGTGTTAAACCAAGAATCATTACCCCGTGTAATGCTTTCAGGGACTAAATTTATGCAAATAATTAAAATTTACTATATTACTCCCAGTGGTATGTTTGCGTGAAATCGTAACACTGCAAGAATTTGCAGTGACAATAATATGAAACTCTGCATGGTTGTGAGTTATAACTTTCAAAGCAATAACTTACAAGCAATAACTTTCAAATTGAAAAGAGGAATAATGAACGCGATGTGGCCGGCAATACTTTCCAAATACCCGTTTTAAAAATTTCTACGAAATAATTTCCTTTCCTCTTGTACCCACACCATGCAAACAGCGCCAGCCAAGAACGGCATTCATCGTTCGCCCTGTATTTTACAGGATCACAAAAGTGTAAATTCGCACAAAAGAGCTTCATGGACAATTTCTTTAAATGTTTATAAAAGCAAAATCGCTTCTCGGAGGATTCCAATATAGACTTCAACCAATTTTTGTCTTGAGTTTATCATCAACATCATCTTGGTGTTAAACTTAAGTTCAACAATGATCCATCGTTTATTTAAGCGTTGTAACTTCAGGGCTTTGATTCATGGCATCGTCAGGTTTAAATACGAGGTGTAGAGTTGTGTGTCATCTGCAATACATATGAGAGTAGGGAAGGGTGACATTCAAGTATTATCAAATTGTCTGCTTGTATAAAATGAAGAGCAAAGGACCTAAACATGAAACTTGCGCTATCCCCGTAATGCAAATCAACTGTTATCGACGTTACTCCATTTCCTGCGTCCGGTAGGGTATATGGAAGAAATACTTTTGAAAAAAAATCCTTAGTACCAAAGGTTGAATTGATTCAACTAAAAAAAAATTTTGAATGAAGTCTAACATTACAAGTAACACCACTTGCTGTTATTAATTAATACTGCTTAGTATTATCCATCATTCTTTGTGATCCGAAAAAATAGGGGGCCACCGAACTCGTTTCAGATATAAACTTGATTAAACTCTATTTGGCGGCCAATTTAAAACGCCTCTGTTGCTATAAAAACGGTTGCCAATGAAAGTTCGGCTTTACATATGTTGACGTAAAGTTATATCAAAGTGTTGAGTATTTGACAATTTCAATAAACTGTAGGAAGCCACCTGTAGGGAGCCACAATAGGCAACATCGTAATTCAAACGACTTAATGAATTATTAATTACGTATCAAATGTCACAAAAAAAACCCACTAGAGTAACCGAGTCAACAAAAACACTTCTAGACTTGATAATCTGTAAAATCGATGACACGAAAACAGTTTCAACAGATGTTATTGACCTTGGTATAGGTGACCACAACCTAGTTTACATCTCTAGAAAGATAGGAATTCCTAAAAGAAAACCCAAAATCTTTGAGACAAGGCAATATCACAAATTAAACACCCAATAATTTCAAAATGACTTAAAAGAGCATTTTCTCAATTCAAATGTAGGGTATGATCTATTTTTGAACCAACTACATAGCTCCTCGAGATGTTTCTCAAAATCTTCCTTATTTGTGAGCAAATTTTCGTGAGTCGCCAAACCTGACTATATACTATAGATCTTTTAATGTGTGCGAGTGTGATGACTCATAGTGTAGATATTGATGGCAGTCAGTGGGCTTACAAAAAAAACTTGTTCTGAACTGACCATCATCAATTTCCATTGTTACATCAAGAAAATTTACCTTGGTCTGCGAGTACTCATAGGTAAATTCCAAGCTGGGATGGAATTCATTAAAACTATTTCATAAACTTTAATAGTTTATCCTCACCTTCTAACCAAACAAAAAAATATTTACCTCTTGTTGTTCCAAAAATTCCTTTTCTATCATGTCCATAAAGATACATGCATACGACGGGGCCGTATAAAACTAGAAGCTTGTTATATTTAGTTTACTTGATGAAGATATTAAAGTCGAAACGTTGATAATGATTTTGTGATTGACTTATAAATGGCTTTTTGCCAGGCGATTGCCTTATATATCAAATATAGCTTGAATTGCTGCATGATAGTTCTATATATAGAGAAAGTTAATTTGCCACAGGTGAATTATCACATTATCAAGTCTATTGCTGAATTTCATTGGTGAATCAGTGTCTGCCTATACAGTTGTATAATATAAGTCTCGTTTACACTACACTCAACTTATTGACACGGTATCGCTAAAATGGGTACCCCTGCGTGCCCATTTCATTCGCCCTGCGTGCCCATTTCATCCGTGCCCGGCCTTTGTACTGGTATTCTGAACACTAATAAAATAACGCACTGGTACCCATTTTACCCGTGCCGTGCCAGTATTACTATTAACTGTAAACGGGAATATAGAGTCAAAAGTGCCAGGTTTGTACCGAACCTGACACTATTTCATGGCAATATAGCAGCATCTTTCGAAAAAATGAGGGCATTTCGTTGGGATAAATTAACGTCAGTCGAAAACTAAACTCTTTTCATAGACATTCAGGAACAATGATCGTCTAATGGTACATCGTCAAACTCATTCATTGAGATTAGATATCGACGGCAAAAAAGGCGAAGACAGTATTCCCGGTAAGATGACGTTTTAATATTCAAAGTAAAGGCGCATCTGCTCAATTTCTCAGATAAGATTTAGAATTTTGAACATTATACTCATATCATATGACAAATAACGCTCGATATATAACGCAAATATTCAAACATGTTTCGAACTAATGTAGCTATGTTAATTGTCAAATACATTTGGGAAGAGATAAATTTTGTGTCTAAATTTACTAAATATAACACAAAATAAATTGCCATATAAACTATATATCAGTTAAAACGCAGTAATATACATGTCAGGTTTATAGATTTGATATAGTAGAGTAATAACTTCAACTCTACCTGTTGTGCTGCATGTGACTTAGCAAATTTATCAGAAATTTAGAATTTCTTTTTCTTTTAATCACACAATGAACATATATTTAAAAGTTAAAGCAAAGTTGGGCATTTTAAAAATTTGCTGATGGTATACATGCAATTGCGCATTAATTTCGGCTGTTTTACCTTCCAGCCAAAAAATACAATGAAAATCTGAAATTTAATTCAAGAGCATGCTGGCTCCTTTTCTATCTTAGTGTACTTGGCAAAAGCTACTTTAGTGATTCATTTTCGTTCGAACAGCTCTGCAAATTGTAATTTGTAATTTGGCCCTTATAAACCATGAAAGTTGACTCTTATTCTGTCAACTGTTTATTCACAAATTCACATCGTATTCTTCCGTTACAATTACACTAAAAAATGTCTTTAGATCAAACTCCAACACCAACAAGGTTTTTCAACAACTGTGATGAACGAGGATTGCCTAATAAACTGGGTGAAAATTACGATCCATTTAACATAGTATGTTCTGTACCTATACCACTACTGGATTGCCAGAATACATGTATATTTTTAACGCAGAACATCATTTGCATATTGAGGATCAATAACTTGTATTTAAATTTTAGGACTTTATCACAGCAACAAAACAACCCCATGAAAAAAAGGTATAGAGGTTATTAAGCTTAAGAATGTCATTAATAAAGATATGTGCAAAGTATTCATGTGTAAAGTACTACTGATTTATACTAATATATATTGTATAAAAAATAGAGCGTCGAAAGTGCTGTGGTGAACAGGCCTATCACGTACAGTCTTCAAACCCCAAAGGCATTCGAACATGCTGGACAACTAGGTATCAATAGTACAATAAAATGCTCGTCTTCATTAGAAATACTAAATAGCTTTTATATAGATAGTTTTTCACCTATATATAGAGAAAGTTAATTTGCCACAGGTGAATGATCACATTATTACAAGTCTATTCCTGAATTTCATTGGTGAATCAGTGTCTGCCTATACAGTTGTAATATAAGCCTTGTTTACACTACACTCAACTTATTGGCACGGCATCGCTAAAACGGGTACCCGTGCCCATTTCATTCGTGCCCGGCCTTTGTATTGATAGCCTGAACACTAATAAAATCGGGCACGGGTACCCCCTTTAGCCGTGTCGTGCCAATAAATTGACTGTAGTGTAAACGGGGCTGTGGAGTCAAAAGTGGGTGGGAGCCTAGATTCCTAAATTGCTATTACAAAACAGGAATTCCTCCCAAGGCAGTGGTCATCATTGTGATTAAATCATGGTATCAAGGTTTCTTAAAATAATGTAAAACTGTTACTTTAGAACACATTGAAATATATGTCAGGTTTATTGATTTGATAGAGAGTGATCAACTTTAACTAGACCTGTTGTGCTTCATAGGTTCCAATGACCAACCATTTGTGTGTAACGTTCCGGAATGGCGCCAGGTTTGTAGCAAAACCAGGCTTTCGAAAAGATGAGGTCATTTCGTTGGGATCAAATAACGTCAGTCTAACACTAAACTCGTATAAAATATATGTAGCCTAATGTCGTGTTTTTGTCCTCTTTTCATAGATATTCAGGAACAATGGTCGTCCAAGGATAGATCGTCAAACGCATTCATTGAGATTAAACATCGACGGCGAAAAAGGCGAAGACAGTATTCCCGGTAAGATGACGTTGCTTTATTTTAATATTCAAAGTAAATTAGGAAGAGATAAATTTTATACCTAAATTTACTATAAATAGAGCGAAATGAATTGTATTATATAGAACTAATACTTTAGAACGCAGTGAAATATATGTTAGCTAAGGTTTATTGGGTTCATTGATAGAAGAGTAACTAACTTCAACTAGACCTGTTTTGCTTGATAAGTGTGTAAAAAAGGTTTTGGTTTAGCACATATACATCCAATGTATCCCTTGTTAACCACAAAATGAACCGCATATATTTCAAACGGTTTAAGCAAAGTTGAGCATTTTGAAAATTGGCTGATCGGAAAACTGGGCATTTAGCTATTTTACCTTGCCCCATAAATAGCGCAACAAATAATACAATGAAAATCTGAAATTAAATTCAAGAGCATCCCTGCTCCTCTTTCATTTAAGTGTACTTGGCCACATTTACTTCAGTACCAATTCATTTTCGTTTCATGCAAGAATTGTGCGAATTGTATAATTTGGCCATTTATATAAGAAATTTGATTCTTATTTTTTGAATTCTTTATTCACAAATTCACACGACATTATTCATGTACAATTGCATTAATAAATGTCTTTAGATCAAACTCCAACACCAACAAGATTTTTAAAGAACTGTGATGGAGAAGGATTGTTTGATGAACTGGGTGAAAATGACAACCCATTTGATAGAGTATGTATGTTCTGTACCTACCACTACTGGATTACCAGAATACATATATATATATATATATATATATATATACATATATATTTTTAACGCAGAACATCGTTTGCATGCATTAAACATCAATAACTTTTTTTTTAATTTTAGGAATTTATTACAGTAACAAAACAACCAGATGACATTGTCATCGACACAGGCCTGTCACGTACAGTCTTCAAACGTAGTCAGTCGCCAATGCATTCGAACATGCTAAACAAGGTAACAGTACAATAAAATGGTCTTCTTCATTAGAAATACTAAATAGCTTTTTGGGTGTGTAGCAAAATGTATAGGTCTTTGGTTGTGTGCTATCACGTTCTCAAGTTTTTTTCTGAATTTCATTGTTGAAATAAGTGTCTGCCTACGTTGTAATATAGAGTCAAGAGTGGATGGGAGCGTAGATTCCTAAATGGTTATGTTATAAATCTCTAATAAGAGCCCCTGTCTAGGGGGTGGTCACTATAGTGTGAAGGATGCCATTAAGGTTTCTTAAAATATATTTCAGGAAGAAAGGTCCAAGTTAAATTCCCCACTGACTCGGTTTTTTGATGCCCAAAAAAGGAATACAGGTACTCGTAAGGCCATTCCACAATTCTTTACCTACCCTGGTAATGTCGTTTCAAAGGCTACCCCCACTCCACCTGAAATACTTCACAATACCATTGCTCAGTCCATTCCAACCCGAGATATTGCATATGATGTGGTAACGCCAACTAAAACTTGGGAATCTTGTTCCGTTGCAAAAAGATCAAAAAAGGTGAGACGGAAAAAGTAGAAATTGAACACACGATTTATTAAGAGCATGCATGCTTTATCACAATAAGAGGCGGTAGAAAGTCACAGTAAATTCGCTTAAATGCGAACCTACACTAAAGTGTAGGGAATTAATGTAACTTAATCTCTTTTGATAACTTTGGCCAATTGATGAAACTAGTATTATAGCCATCTCGTTTCTATATTGATCTCACATGCTCATTGGTGTAGAGTTTGGTTTTCTTCTGAGAGGGCTCAAACTTTAGATACATGATATCTAGCTAGCAACACCTTCTGACATTAGATACAATTAAATAGAATAAATTTCCTCTTGATATATAGTTGGATCGGTATAGTTATGGTTTATATGCCAGATAGGCGGAGAATATATTAAGCAATGGTTATTACCTAGCTGTTGTGGGTAGAAAAGCTAATGAAAGATAAAATGAACAAGCTGCCATATATTTTATGATTTTATAACTCGAAAATTCTGTATTTCGCAATTGCTTTTCCGAGTTGCTTGATATATTATTATATTCACTATAATAATACCGTTTCATGTGTATGTAAGGATGCCTTTTGAAAGATTCAACAATGCTCTGATGCAATTATTACTTTCTGGAAGATTTCTCGGGGGGCTTCAGCCCCTCAGCCCCCCCTTCATACTCCACGCCTATGCGACATGCTGCTTTATGCCTGTGGTTGTGATGACTTTAATCTAAATGACCGTTGCTAGCTGAGCGTTTGGTTTACATTAATATCAATATACTTACAATGCAAAACGTTTGTTAAATGTGGATTTAACGTATCGGTTGCCCTTATTTAGCTATAGTAATATTCAAAGTTGTCAAGAACTAATTCTTTTATACATAACGTTGATATAAGGAAAACCAAGAAAAACAAAGCAATAAAAATCTCGGGATAAGCTCAAGGGAGATTTTGAAGTCCATTAAACATTGCGAGAAATTCCAGATTTTGAAGAATATGGATGTGGGAAAGCTAAAGAAGGTAGATAATTTTTGTCTGACAACATGTGTATTTTTAAATCCGAAAATAATAACATTTCATGAATATCATGCGAGTATATTCAACCCATGTCCGAAAAACGTATCACCAGAGCGTTGGATGTTGCAAAGCCTAGAATGAGGATACTGAGATTTCCTGCAAGGTTTCTTTTATTTGACAAAAATTGAGTCGGAAAATCATTTTCAGTTTTTAAAAGCACAATACCACTTAAATTTTTTTATTACACTAAGCACAATACCACTTAAATTTTTTTTATTACACTACCGTTATTTTGCTTTTGTTTGGCCACTGTATTTCCCAATTATATATAATTCGAACTTCGTGCTGAATTAATTTTTTTAAATATCGTCACAAATTTGCGAACCTCAGACATACTCCGTTTTTCCAATAAGCGGAATGATCGAGCGATTCACTTGACAGAGCACAATTGAAAGGAATGTCAAACGAAAATTACGCCTAATGGTAACAGCGCAGAGAGCATAAGACTGGGTAAAATTTATGTAAAACTGTATACTGAGAAACCTTTGCCATTATTGAGAAATCCTGCCTAGAGAATTCGTCTTTGGTACCAGTAGCGTAGCCAGCCTGTCGATTTGTCCCGCTATGCTAATATTTTGGTATTCACTTACTGGGAAAACAATAGATTTCTAAAGACATGAATAATTATAATAACTCGAAATTTACATTGCGGGAGAAAATCGTCAGGCTGGCTACGCCACTGTTTTGTACATGAAGAAGGTTGCTTGTTTTAACTTTTCACTTCTGTTTGCAGGTTGGACCACAGCTACAGTATTTTGCAACACAGAAGAATTTATTGCTTGGGCATGGTTCATATGGTACGTCTGTTTACGTGGGGATTTTACAAGATGGTAGCGAAGTTGCCGTAAAAAGAGTATTGCGTGAAGCTGCCGATGAGAATGAAGTTGCTGTCTTGAAACGCATGGACAAAACGAAATCGCCATATATTCTGAGCTATCGCCATTTTCTCGAGGACAAAAACTTCATGTATTTAATTCTGGATCTTTGTGAAGAAACATTGAAAGAATACGTAGAATCACACAATATTCTTCACCTGCGAGAAGAAGGCCCGAGGATGATCAAGGAGATTTTACTTGGTATTAAATTTCTTCATGACCAAGGAATCTTGCACAGAGATCTCAAGCCATCAAATATATTGGTTGATCTAAAAGGTCAGATGAAATTAGCAGACTTCGGAATCAGCCGTGTTTTGAAAGAAAATCAAACAACAGTTAAAACTTTTGCGAAAGGAACACAAGGCTGGATGGCTGCCGAAGTTATACAAGCGGGTAATGAAGAAAGAATTGGACGTTATAAGAAAAAATCTGATATCCAATCGATTGGTATGATTGCCTTTTTCATTTTAACTGGCGGTCAACACCCCTTCGGAGCTACTTTGCAAGACCGTATGACGAATATCTCAAAGGGAAATCCAGTTGATTTAGACGCACTTGATTATGGTGACGCCAAACGGTTTGTGACATGGTTGATAAGTCATGATCTTGATAATCGACCCTATGCTCGTGAAGCGTTGGAGCATTCTTTTTTGCAAAGCATTAAAAGAGTTGAGGAATTTTGATATAATTTCAATCATTATTACAGCGATATAAGCATAGATGATTGCCATATGGCTATGGAAAAGGCATCTTTTAGACTTTTTATGACCTAAATTTATAACTGAACACATTTGTAACTGAACGCCATAGTTTAATTATAGTGGAGCCATAATTTAAAAACTTTTTTGAAAATATTTTCGATTGATACAAAAAGTGAATCTTTGTTTTGGACATTCAATTATCTGCAATTAACCCCTTTCACTTCCATTAATTTAAATTACATCATATATAGGCTTGAAATTACAACGCGTGCATGGTGAGGTCCAGAAATACCGAATCAAAATATTTGTGCGATTTAAAAAGATACGACACGTTCTGAGAGGGGAATGTTTGAGATGCTGTCACTGGTTACGTCACGGGACGCGAATTGAGGTTTCCGAGTGGAAATAGAAAACCAGCAACATTCCCCACTTTTTCTTGATGTCCTTTCAATAAACAATATATAGCTCGACCTTTAACAATAAAGAAAATTCAACATCAACAATGCCACATGCGAAATGCGATATTTTAATACGATTGTTTACCATGCAGTATCGAACAAGATTTTTCTCAGCGGTGAAAAACTCGGTATAACACTCATGTTCATATAATAAATGGATATGGCAAGGTAATTTGGCATGAACGAATGTTTTTAATTTTTTTTAAAATGGAAGATGCATGGATATTATCATCAAGAGGGATGAAAGATTAACAACAAGTTTAACGTTTCTACTGATTAGACGTAAAGCATTTCTACTACTAATTCCACAAGATGCTTTATTTATCATTTATATTTTCTGAATATTTTTAACTGCAAATTTTAGTCAGAAATTCGAAGCTGCATCATGAGTTACTCAAAATAACAGAGGAAAAGCACATAAGATACTTCCATAATAAACAGGGTGTATCAGAAAAAACTAGATTTTAAAATGCCCAGAAAACTATCATTTAATCAAAATATCTCAAAAACAACTCCGCGATGTTTGATCTAAGGGCCTTGGTCGGGTGAGCTACTCGGAAAGGACTCGGTTCTAACTTGGAAACTTGAGCTTTAAGCTTCTAGTTCCGGGTATAGCAACTACAATAAGATCCTTGGTGTATACAGTATAGTTATTCAATCCTTGGTGTATACAGTATATAGTTAGTCCACCAAAAATATTTGGCTTATTTCAGCCGGTGAATTATCATTTGATGAGATTACTTTCATTTGATGAGATTATACTTTCATTTGATTTGCTGTAATCAACTAGAAATGTCATTATATCGACATTACTAAAATACTTTATTTCGGGATATGGATTGGTTTGTAAGCTTTGTATGTGCAAGACGTCGCACTTGGTGAGTAATTGAATTGGTATAATAGTGCAAATTATCACTATGCGAAGGCATGCTCTAAGAAGCTCCTGTCGTGCGATAAATCATTTGAAACAAAATTTTCTTAATTTGAATTGAATTAATGAGCTCTTTACAGTCTATCTATGCTTAGTCTTAGACCAGCTGATCGCGTCTGTGTACCAACAAGGGCAGACTTATCTTCACAGAAAGATAAGCTGGTAGTAAATTCTCGTTGTTACACGCTATTATTACGCTTCTTCGACAAAGCGTATAGCCTTATATCTGACCTTTCCCAGTTACAAAGAAAACCACAGCCCCAGTTGTGATTTCAACATCCGGTCCGTCATTGAACACAAAGTCAGATGTTACTCATACGTTTATTAAATGGATACAAATTTATAAGAAACTGCGAAATTTATAAGAAATTACTATCACGTTTTCACCAAGAGGTCTGTCGCCGCCGAATGTTAATCTCGCGTTAAATGCTATTCTCAGTTAACAACGATTGCCTCGTGTAATGCTTTCAGGGACAAGTTTGGAAGTTTTATATGATCAATCGCGACATATTACAAATGAGCCGGGCGGTAGTGTTTGGTACTCTTTGTAATTTGAATACATTAATATAGCAGGTGTCGCAAACAACAGACTGTTGCAATAATCTAAGACTGAGCAGCTTGTTATGAAAACATTAAGTCTTTATGCTATTATATTGATTTATTGTCCAGAACTTTCTTCGTTCATATATATAGATGGTAAAATATACGGCTTTGCACACGTGTAAGTTACCATAGTAAGTTACCTTTCAAACCAACAGCCCAGAGTACAAGCCTAACTAAGAGGTGTTCATTTACCGTTACCGACTCTGAAGGTTCCAGATCGTCATTATCTCATTCTGCATTGCTGTAACTGCAGCGCTTTGATTCATGGCGTCTTCAAGTTTAAATACGAGGTATAGAGTTGCAGTGTAAATATATGCAAATGGCATGCATATACATATGAGAAATTGGAAAGATGACTTTCAAGTGGTATCAAATTGTCTGCATGCATGCTTGTATAAAATGAAGAGAAAATCATCTGCACATGAAGCTTGCGGTATCCCATAATGCAAATCTACAATTTTCGACATTACGGCATTTTTGTAATAAATTGGTAGGGTTTGGTAGGGTTTAAAAACCCGCAACTTCCGCTCTAAATGATTGAAAAGCTAAATCTAAACTTTTGTCACTATTTATAACGCGGTTCTTTTATGTAGGAATCATGAGGTTTTTTCATTCTTTGGCATACACCATGAAGTAGCATCACAATGGCAGTGAAACCTTTCTCAAAAGAAGAATTGAATTTCTTCAAATTTGCATCCATCGTTCACGATGAATTTCCAAAGATGTTGCGTTCGACATTTGTAACATTGTGGGATAGGAAGATTGCACCGTTGCCTGGTTACCAAGTTTGGGACGACACACCCGCAGTCCGCACGCTTCTTTTGGCGCTCGAAGGCGGTACAACTCCCATACCAACCAATGATTCGTTCGAGGATTGGGATTGTACAGCCCTGTTCAAGGCAACTATTTACTCTAAGACTTTTGCAATCTCTACGACAACGACCATCAAGACACTCAGTGATAAGTTTTTAAGGGGGAAGAAACCCAGTCCTTTTCATGTTTCGGTAATCAGTCCAACTGGGAACCAGGATGAAACTATAACTTTAACTATCGACCAAGTTCGACTGCTTAGAAACAAATTTTGTCACTTGCCTAAGTTTGGTATGACAAAACCTGTCTTTGATGATTATGTTCAACTTGCTAATGATGCTTTTACTGCAGTTGGATTCCCAACAGCTCAAATTGATTATATTGCTGGTCTTATGGAGGATGATTTTCCAACTGCGAGAGTTGATGAGTTGGAGAGAGAAATTAGAGCTATTGCGTCGGAGCGCATCAACTTTCTTGAGGAACAGCTGAAGAAAACAATGGATGATAGGTGGGAAATCCAGATGTTCTTTAATGAATATTTTTCACAAAATCTTGAAGAAATTAAAAAGTGCGTCATTGATAACCAGACTACTGGAACAGGTAATTAATTATATACGCCAATAATAAATTGATTATGTCAATCTGTATTGTTGCCAAATACAGATTCCTATTGCTTAATATAATTATATACAGTTGTCGTCATAACACACATTTCCCTTCTTAGTTCTTAATCAGTTACCGTTAGCAGATCCTGTAATGATATATAATTAAAACAGCTTTAGATTTGACTACGGTCCCGCTATACGGGCTACGAGATTCGTCTTTATGTCGCGCATACACTTAATGTCACGTGCACCCTGTACCGGTAACCAGCCCGAAGTTTATTAGGCGCCAAGTTTATTATTGACCATCTCAGATGTTGTGCATGACCATGGAATAGCCAGGGTTTCCATTTCTAAGGAAATTTCCTTAGAAAAGTGCTCCACTATGGGGGAGAGGGTCATTATTAATTGCATAAAGTATACATTCTTTTCAAAAGTTCTTTGTTTCTCTCTGCTCACCAATTCCATCCCTGTGTGAGGAGAGCAATATGCAAATAAATTATGGAAGCCCTGGGAATAGCCAATAAAACTTAACCATTTCAGACCATGTGTGAGAGACGGATGCCAAAACGTATGCTCCGCAGGGGATATAAGTTATAAGTTTTAACATTTTGTGAGACGATACGAATCGATATGTTGCTCTTTTAACACGAAGGTGAATACGTCAACGTTATAGTTAATGCCGATGGCGTCTAAATTAAATAGAAAGCTCGGTCTCGCATGACCTTGATTCACTTGAAGCAGTTTGTAATTGACGACTTAAAACTAGGAGGAACATGGTCACTGCCCGCGGTGGGGATAGAAAACTCTTTACCTTTGATGACAATACTATACTCTGGAAAAAGAATAAGAATCTGTTGTGTCTCAAAAGAGAAAGAGCGAGCGATGCAAGGTGCAAGATATGTTTACACGAAGCACCCATTCCAGACGACCAGCAGTCAAGCATGCAGTCGGCTGTTGTTTGCGAAACTCTTGAAGACCTTCACAGAGCCCGCTAGTCGGTGAATTCGAAAGCGATTAAGCCTTATAAGGAACAATTACACATACAACATTTATGATGTTGCAGTTTCAGATGTTTATGGATAAAAATGATAACGTCACAGCGATACAACCACGAATATAGCGAGTGTGTCATTCAAATATGGTAATCAAGAAAACGTTTGCGATGGGAATGAAGCAATGAGCGACACCCTTGTGGTCAGCAATGAAATTGTAAATCTTAATGAGATCAATACGACTAATTTGAGCTAGAACCCCAAAATCAAATTGCTCATTTTAACATCCGCTTCCTCAGGAACAAGAGAACTAACACGCAAAGAAAATTTTGATATCCTAACAATATCTGAAACTTGGCTAAATACAACTGTATCTTCTGCTGAAGTAAAAAAAGAAGGTTTCAATCTTCTTCAGACTTCACAAACGAGGCGTATGTGCGTAATCAGCGTAAAGAATTTAAAGCTTCCGTCATAAAATCCTTTTCCCTAATCTCGGAAAACAACTTCCATCAAGGCATCAACAATGGATCAACGTGCAGTGCAACGAAACGAAATCTTTCCTAATTTGTGTAGCTAACAGACCACCTGCATGTGACTGTCCCTTGAACTGTTTTGAATATGCATGCACTCAAACCAGACTATACGGAAGTTTTATTATTAAATAAGCCAATTCTGATCTTAGGTGACTTAAACTGTAATTGAATGAAGAGAGATTGCGCAGAATATAAATCCCTTGAAAAATTCTCATGTGAAATGAATCTTAAACAAATTATCGAAACGCCAACTAGGATTACGAATTCAACTCGTTCATTGTTCGATGTCATTCTGGTTTCGTCGAGGTCTTTAGTCAGTAGAAGCGGGCGTACTAACCGTACCTATTAGCGATCATATGCTAGTTATGACTCAGCCAGTATATGTTGAATTTAAAATAAAAAAACCCTAAACAAGCTACCAAATATACATTACTGTTCGCAGCTTCAAAAAATACGTGCCGAATGACTTTGTTACCAACCTGGCTGGAAAGTCAGAATCTCTTTTATCTATCTTGGAAAAGAAGACGTAAATAGTAAACATGATCTTTTCAATCATATTATCCAAACAACTTTGAATGCACGCACCGATTACAAAGGTATAGCGATTCGCAATCGACCTTGTTCATTTATTACACAAGACCTTAAAAACCAAATGAAAGAGAGGGACCGATTACACCAGAGATATACGCTTACGCGTGACATTAAGGATTGGGAAAATTACAAGACCTATCGTAACAATATCAAAAATGCTCTTAGGAAAGCAGAGCAAGAATATATCTCTAACGAAATATACAGAAACACAATGATAACCCGAGATCTATTTGGAAAATAATAAATCGTCTTGTACCATCTAAGAGACAAGAGAGCCAAATCTATACTAAAGACCATAAACTTGTTGCAAACGAATTTAACCGATTTTTTTCTACAGCAGGTGAACATGCAGCAAAGAAAGATATTCACTTAGCAGCTACTCATAACATTCTCCCGCGAGAATCTTAAGAAGTCTACATATTCGACGAGTTATACGTTTTTTAAAATCTAATACTAAATCTCCTGGTCCAGACCTGATTAACCCAAAATAAGAGATAATAAAAGATTGCCTTCCGGTCATTTTAGGTCCCCCGACGAATATTATTAACTGTTCATTCCGGACTTCTACCTTCCCGTTGGCATGGAAGAAGGCAAAACTCATCCCTATACATAAGGATAAAGAAAAAGATCATGAATTACCATATAATAATCGACCAGTGTCACTACTAGTTGTAGCGTCGAAAGTGTGTGAAAATTTAGCACTTGAGCAAATGAATTCTTATTTAATAAACAATAAGCGATGAACTCCGCATCAAAGTGGAAATAAAACCTTTCACTCATGACAGAAACATTAAATATTTTTATTACCGATACAATCCTAGATGCCATGGATAAAAAGGAACTCACAGCATTATTTCTGCTGGGTTTTTCAAAGGCTTTCGATAACTTAAACCATCAGGAACTATTTCATAAATTATTTAACGTTGGTGCCCTTTAATTCTAAAGTGAAGTGGTTTTGGAGTTACCTAACCGATCGTTTTTAAGTAACCCGTATTGACTCCACGTCATCGGATCAACTACCAATAACTTACGGGGTGCCCAATATACTTAAACGTCTATAAACGATTTGCAGCTTGTAATAGCAATCTTGAATCATATATAGATGATAGTAGTCAAAGATGATGGTAGTAGAAGTAGTCAACGCCATTAAAAACCTGGAACAAGATCTACATAGGATCGCGACTTGGTGCTGCGAAAATAGTCTCCTGGTTTGTCCAGATAAAACAAATTAAGTTGAAAGACAAAACAAAAATACCAAACAGTTGATCAAAGAGTTGGATGTTAACATTTCGATTCCGTTCATGTTTAAGCTATTAGAACCCATAATGGGCAAAGGATCTAGGGGTGTTAATGGAAAAACATCTACCGGGTGTCCTATAAAAAAGTACTCCGGTTTCATTCATAATAGCTTCTAAATTAGCTAAGCTACTAAACTGAAATAACTTTCACTAGATAAAGAGGGAAGACAAACTTAGATTTTGATATATTACAGTTGTATTTTACTTAAAAATTTACACGGAAATATCAATGTTCAAAATTGGTAGCACATAATTCTGGATGTGTCTAAATTATGCAAAAAACGAATGCACTGCCTAGCCCGTGAGACCATTGCGTCGAAGGAGTCATGGATCATTCGTTGTTCTAGATTACGGCATGCTGTTACGATTGAGTTGCGAAGCTATTCTAAATTTTGCGGTTGCTGATCGTGTGGTACATTCCAAATTTGCTGCTTAAGGTATCCCCAAAGAAAAAAGTCGCATATTGCATTATTTACTGCTAATAGTGCATGTTTCAGTTAAGAAAGGCTTGATTAATATTCGATACGGCATTTTTTGCATAATTTAGACACATCCATTCTGGGACACCCGGTAAATTATAACAAACATATCTCCAAATTAGTTTCATCCAGTCTTCACACATTGTCCCAGATAAATCGCATGTGAAAAAGAGCTTCGACAAGAAAACACTTACAATGATACTAACTTCATTAGTGATTTTTTATAAGATGCTTCATTGTTCCACTGTTTGGTCGAACACCACAAGCTCTAATAATAAGAAACTTCAATCAGTCCAAAATTTTGCAAGTAAATTAATCACTGGATCAAAGAAATATGATCACATCAAAGAATGACTGTTGATAAGTTGCTCTATTTCCGCGATCCGCAATACAAGATATTGAAACCTACTTCAAATACCTCGGTTTAAAACATGGACAGAACGATCATTTTTAGCTCGCCTGCACTTTAGTGCAAGAGAGCTATTGCTATAGTCTTGGCGTCCGCGTCCCCGTCCCCGTCCCCGTCCCCGTCCGCGTCCACACTACATGATAAGTAGAATGTTAAGATGCCACTTTTATTTTCCCATTATTTTCAACTTATCTACTTAAGGAGTCTATTTGTTGCAAAAGAACCATTTACCAGGGGGGAGTGAACATTATACAACAAAATATAATGATAAGGTCAATGTTAACATGCTATATTTTTTCTATACTTTGGCTTTACATCAGAGGAATCATTATCAATATAAGTCATCAATATGCATTGTGACTATTTAGTGCCATTTGGTACGCATTTATACAATAATAAAGAGAGTTTTGCTCAAAATTATTAAATGATAAGGTGAATGTTAAGCTAATTAGCATAATGATAAGGTCAATGTTAAGATGTTATATTTTTTAAATATTATGGCTTTGCATTGGAAGATTCTTTATAAATATAGCTCATCGATATGTCTTGTGACTATATGGTGACATTTAGTACACATTTACACAAAAATAATGGGAATTTTGTTCAAAATTATCAAATGATAAGGTGAATGTTAAGCTAATTAGCATAATGATAAGGTTAATGTTAAGATGCTATATTTTTTAAATATTATGGCTTTACATCAGAGGAATCATCATAAATATAAGTCATCGATATGCATTGTAACTATTCAGTGCCATTTGGTACACATTTATACAATAATAAAGAGAGCTTTGCTCAAAATTATCAAATGATAAGGCAAATGTTAAGCTTATTAGCATCATGATAAGGTCAATGTTAGAGTTATCCAGAGTTATCACGCTCATTACGATTTTCAGGGCTATTGTGTAGCCCTGTCTTTTTTAGTTCAAAGTTGTAGCTGAATATTTAACGAAAGTATTTGTACAACCCTAAGCCAAATGAGAAACTTTCAAATATTTTCACCTGTATGCTACCATATGTTTGTATTGTGCATGTACAATTATAAATTATGAGATTGTGTTGTGACATGCCGTATCAAAATTCAATCGCTTAATATAGAAATCATTCAGGGAGTGAATATATATAAAACATAGTCCAACGTTAAAGTTTAAAGAATATTGTCAGATAATTCGCAATTACAAGCTTTAGCACATAAGTATTTATAAGTAGAAAGCCGATAGGCTCGGAATGCAAAGGCAAATGGCAACGCATGTGACATATATTTGCATATTATTTATGTAGATACACATGCAAATATATTATTAAAGCCAGTTAAATTGTAGACAGGGCCCTATAAGATTTATGTACATACCTTTTCGTTGTTTGATGCATAATCCTTTTTGTGTAGGTATAAAAATCCAATCTTGTCTTTTTCATAAAGCTAGGCGCACACACGACGATTTTAGTCGGCCGATTCCTGTCTAGATTGTCTAGATGGATGTTTTCATCAAAATGTGGCGACTGGCAAGTGGCAATCTATACTTGGTCAGATTAGACCAAGTAGACTCGCGTACACGCGCGAGGCGCGAGCGCCGCGAGAAGGAAAACATGTCTGGGCAAGGGCTGCCTATATGTCTAAACCTGAATGGACCAACTACAGTAAAATCGTTGTGTGTGCGTCCAGGCCTTTTGCCTGGTCCTTTAACTTACCTGTTGATATCACGTGCGCGGATTGTGAGAAACGGAAGAAATATTGGTCACAAATAAAACTAATGTAATTCCGAGGCCAGTTTTGGCCAGTAATTCTGAGGTCACAACTAATATCTGAAGTTTGTGCTTAATATTACCTTCCAAAGCGGATTTTAGCCTTGTAGTTTCTAATAAAAAGATCGGTAATTTGTGCTTCATACAGATACCTTTCATACATTCCTTATTCTAGACAAACAGTGCAGGCGAGCGTTAGGTGGTTTCAGCACCTCTCTGGTCATATCGAGGAACTGTTATTTGGGATAATTTGTAGAAACATTGAAGGAATGTAGCTACACTTTCATAGATTTTTCAAATATCATTAGCTTTATTATTAGTAAATATAGATAAGTATATATAGATACACAATTAAATATAGATATACACTTCTTGAAAAAATCCCACATACCTATGATTTTCTTTCAATTTTTCACTCCTGGAACGTTCAGCAACTGGGCAGGAAAATCATGGATTTGTAGCGCTTTCAATATCTTGCATGGTGGTCCACGTCCAAATGTAAGCAGCGATGGAAGTATGCTATATAACCATGATTTTTTTTAAATCATTCCTTCCACACAAGATGTAGTTTGAGGCATTAATATCGGGGATTTGTAGCACTCGAAGGTCTTCGTCCCAGTAATGGAGGCATTCTATATAACCATGATTTTCATTAAATTTTTCTTTCCGTAGAATGTTCAGCAATTGTGCAGAAAAATCGTGAATTTGCACCACTCGTTTCTCATCCTCCCGAGTTGCGAAGCGATGGAGGTAATATCGTATTCCGTATAACGGCTGAAATGGCGCGAAAGGATAAAGATAAGGTTTTAGATACTGTTTCGCTTGTTGAAATTTTGTATTCATGTGAAAAAATTCAACCATCAGTTTTCCATGAGGCCCTCAAAAGAGGCTTTGGCGTTAAAACGAATGACCAAAAATTTGGAGAGATCAAACCAGCCTGCCTTCTTGTTCCACTGTATTGTTCCTCAAATGAAAAGTTTCTTGAAGTTTTGGATGATTTTGAATCTGGAAGGCTAAAAGAACGTTTGCTGGAAGCATTTTCACAGTTTCGAGATGAAATAAAAATGATGGAAATTGAGTTAATGAAAATGGAAGAAGTAAACAAAATGAAGGATGATATAAAAAGAAAGTATGTATAATTTATAGTCTTTGCTTAACACCTCTGTTTATTTAATGTCATCAACTAGTATAAAATACTGTATATTGACAGGGTATTCTAACATCTCACATTTGAATTTTCTAGCTTTAAAAAATTTCTTTAAAGATTGATTCTAAAGGTAGTTTTAAGTTTAATGAAGGTATATTCATTAGAAATCCATGATCAATAGTTTCGTTATTCAGGCCGTTATATATTTGCAATTTAAAATTGTTCTGCAGTACTTCATCGTGACTAAGGTTGTATCCAAAAAAGCCACGTAAATGGGCCAAAGTTTGTGTTTTTGTATGCAGTCTGGCCAAATTTAACGCGTATGTAATCAAGGACATAGTTTATGGCCGGATTTCTACAGGTAGCTGCCGATTGTACCGTTTCGGTCCTTTGAGCTTTTAAAATCGTTTCCTCAATTAAACCATTTCCCCTTTTCTGTTTCCCAGTTCTGTGTGCCAGTCACATTAACTTAATTTCAATCAAATGAAGTCATCACTCTGTTGATGTGATACGCCAACATTTTCGATTTTTTATTTTGCTGCTAATTTTGGTGTTCTAGACAATGTTAATTATCTAATTAATCGTAGCATGACAAGTCAGGACGACAATTGTGCGGAATTAATAAAGTATCATTCCTGATGCAGCTAGTAGAATCCTTCAAGTATAACCTACAGATATCTTACCACTGTAATTCTCCAACGTCAGTCGGAAGTCGAAATTTTGTATGAAAATGATGGGAAACTTTATTCTCTAGATTGCGGGATTCAACTACGCATTTGAAAGAAAATCAGAATTTGCAAGCAATGCGCGATGAAGAATTTACTGAAAAGTTTATTAAAAAGGTAATAATTATAAGAACGTCTCGCTCTGTTATTTATTAAACTTCAGAGTGCGAGAAGGTATACAATAAATGAAATTTAGTGGCGGAAGTTCAGTTCGAAGTGAAGTTTTCCCAGGCTCATCATTTATGAGCGATACTATTATCTTTCTCTTAAACGAGTGGCGTCTTAGAAACCCATACGAATATGGATTATATTCGTATAAGTAGGGGAATACGGGTGGGGTGGAAGAGATGTCACCCTGAGTGGCGGTTCAAGGATAAGTCAGAATAAATTACTACATCTCTAACTTGCACACATATTCTTATGTTAAAATATCCTTTAGAAATATTTTTAACGAATAGCGTTAATTTTATAAGGCAATTTGAATTCGAAATTTGGCCAAGTAATCTATTCTGACTGATTTATATACCCTATATCCGACAATGATCACCTTTTCCCTCACCACTTCTCCTGACTGATATTGACAGAGCTGCGCATGTGCTGCGCTCGTGCAACGCTAGCGGTAGAACCAATAAGAACACTTGTTAAGTGTATTAACGGCATTAGTTTTGGCTGTGAATATCTAAAATCATTCTCCTTTGGAAATTGCAACTCAAACGTTGGTGATTTTAATAATGATTTGAAGCCAGTGAACTCCATACAACTGGAACGATAACTCCTGACAAACATCCCTATTCAGCTTGAAGCCAAAATATAGTCTTTCTAAGTTTTGAGACGAAATACTTGACGCCAGACGTTGGACTGTGTGTCAAATTAAAGCCATTGAAAAGTTATATTTGCATGGTGTAGAAATTTCAAGACTTAAACTATAAAGGAAATATTAAAAAAAAAAAAAATAAGAACAGTGAAAAATATCACCGTGCAAAGTTAGCAAATTTTGTATAAATTAGTATTACGCACTAAAGTGGTGACGTTTGGTTAGAGTTGCTTTGATTAGAGTGGCTTTTCAATGCTAACAAACAAAAAAATTGAATATTATTGTTGAGCTAAATATTTTGTTCTACAGAAATCTGCGTAAAGCTGAGTTCGATACGAATACCGCGGTTTTTTACAAGCCTTGTTTGCTGCAATTACATGGAAAATAGAATATTTCCATCCCTCCTGACAAAATCTCAAGTACTTAATAGTAGATATTTAAAATTATTGCTTTTTATTAAGCTTTTTGTCGCTGATGTAAATGGCAAAAACACTGATGGAGTCCCAGGGCTACACACTGCTGTTATTGAAGGTTCGGTTAAAATTGTGAAATATCTTGTGGAACAGGGAGCGGATGTGAATGGCAAGAACGTTGCTGGAACGACAGTGCTGCACACTGCTGTTTTTAAGGGTTCGCTAGAAATGGTGAAATTTCTTGTAGAAAATGCGGCTGATGTAAATGGCAAAAACACTGACGGAGTGCCAGTGCTGCACACTGCTGTCAAGGAAGGTACGTTAGAAATGGTGAAATATCTTGTAGAACAGGGAGCTGATGTAAATGGGAAAAACACTGACGGAGCGACTGTCCTGCACACTGCAGTTATGAAAGGAAGGCTAGAAATAGTGAAATATCTTGAAGAAAAAAGAGCTGATCTAAATGGCATAAACAATGAAAGAGTGACAGTGCTGCACACTGCTGTTGCCGAAGGCACGCTAGAAATGGTGAAATATCTTGTAGAACATGGAACTGATGTAAATAGCAAAAAGACACGTGGAGTGACAGTGCTGCACACTGCTGTTGTTCAAGGCACGTTAGAAATGGTGAAATATCTTGTTGCACATGGAGCTGATGTAAATGGCAAAAACACTGACGGAGTGACAGTGCTGCACACTGCTGTTGTTCAAGGCACGCTAGAAATGGTGAAATATCTTGTTGAACATGGAGCTGATGTAAATGACAAAGATACTGACGGATTGACAGTCTTGCATGTTGCTGTGCATACTCGTGCATTAGAAATTGTCAAGTACTTAGTTGAACAGGGTGCTGACATTACTCCTAAAAGTGAAATCGGCACTCACACTCTTGGCATTGACATTCTGAAAATGGCTATCAAAGAAAATTCAGTTGTTTTGGTCAATCTTCTGTTGGAAAAGAACATCGCATTATGGAGAGCTGGAACATTTCTTGTTGAAGGAAGGCAAATGAGTCTTCTTGAATGGAGTATTCACCTTGGTCATGATGAAATTGCAACCATCCTCAAAAGGTCCGTAAATCATCGTGAGAAGATTCAGATGTTGAAAACAATGAATTGCAACCGGTTACAAAAGGTAATAGCTAAAAAATACATGTGATGTTCTTTTGATCTGCGTTCCAACTTAGGCCAGTATCAGGAATACAGGGCGCGGTCATTGACCCGCATGCACAAGTAATAATGTATATTAGAAAGCGATTCGGCGAATTACATGTATTGCATAATTCGAAATATGTCTGTCCTCTAAAATATCATGAAAGTTTTGATTTAATTAGATTTGATATTTAGATATTTAGAAAAATTTATTTTACTTTTCGCATTTATTTACTATACGCTTTAATATTTTTTTACTTTCTTCTTTAACCATAGATAATTTATGGTATTTCTTTCATAGATTGAGTTGCCCAATCAAGTAGTCGAAGCGCGAGTAGTCAAAATAGATTAAAGTAGTTAAATATATAAGCGGTTATTTTGAAGTGTTCGCATTCCAACCACACAATGTTAACGTGCTTTTTAGGGTTTTCATCGAAGTCAACACTGGTGCATAAATATAGTTCCCAAACCAATACCTTACAATACCAATACCTAAAAATCGTGGAAACCCTCGAAAACGTTACCGTGTGCACAAAGATTTAAAATGGAGAAAACGTTTTCAATGAGTACGCAATATTTTCTTTATACACCGTAATATATTAGTTTCGGAAACATATTTATGCATCATTGTTGATTTACGATCTGCAAGGTATAGATATAGAATTACATGAACTTGTATTTCAAATTACGGTTTTCTATGCCTAAATATATCATGCATATTGAGATATAGATCTCGTAATCTTCAATTAATCTTCAAAATCCTAATCTTAACTGAATTTAAGAAAATACATGGCTGGAGTGGCTAGTTTCTATGCCCGTCTCACATTATGCTAGAAATTTAATTGTGACAATATGTCCGGATCCCTTTGCTAATGTTGATCCAATTTCCTCCGTAGACTGGAATACCGATGCAGGCTTTTGTCGCAAGGCATCGATTCAAAATTGGGGATGGCAGTTTTTCTCGTGTCTATGTTGGTATCATGAAAGATGGGAGTGAAGTTGCTGTTAAGAGAACTTTGATACTAATTGGGGATAAAACAGATGAAAACGAAAACGAAATCACGAGTCTTATTAAAAGTGACAGCTGCCCATTTATAGTGAACTGTCGACATTTCTATCGTGACGATACCTTCATGTATCTTATTCTTGATCTCTACGAAGAAAATTTACGACAATTTGTTGAATCATGTAGTATTGAACATCTACAAAAGCATGGTCCACGGATGATTAAGGAAATTCTATCTGGACTTAAATTTCTTCACGATAAAGGAATATTGCACAGAGATCTAAAACCATCAAACGTTCTGGTTGACATCGAAGGTCGCATGAAATTGGGAGACTTTGGAATAAGCCGCATTCTTAAAGACGATGAAACAACAGTTGAAACATTTGCTAAAGGCACTCTCGGATGGATGCCACCAGAAGTAATCGAAGCAATAGACAGAGACGAAAAAGGTCCTTTTAAAAGAAAATCGGATGTTCATGTCGCGGGTATGATTTCTTTTTACATCTTAACCAAAGGTGAACACCCTTTCGGTTCTTCCCTCAATCGAATGAACAATATTCTGCAAGGAAGCCCAGTCAATTTGAAGAAATTTGACGATCGTAATGCTCGAAGGTTTGTATCGTGGTTGATTAATCACAGGATCAAGGATAGACCTTATGCTCACGAAGCCCTGAGGAATTCTTTCGTTAATAAAGCCTAAAGACGGCGAAGTTTGTCTGGATAGACGCACTATTTTTAGACTAAGTTCGTCCTGTCGCCTGATCCGTCTGTAATATAATCCGGCCATGCATCTATACCATTTTTATATCTGCTTATTGACCGAGGGCGACTGCGAAAATACAAAATGTTATCCTTTGTGAATTTTCCGTTCATTACTTTCCCTATCGTAGCTAACTTCACCCACAATTCTTGTATGTATAGCAATATAGACATACGAAGCCCTATGTAAGTCTTTAGTGCTTATTCTGCCATGCGACAGACACTACTGAGTACTGTGATCCACGCCACCGTGATCCACACAATGTTCTTAGAATGATAGTTCACCTGATAGTACTGATGTACTATATTTAAAAGCATGATGCTGTTAACATCAACTTCATGCAAGCTCCGACCTGTCAACCGTCTCTAATAGCACTTGAAATATTACAGAGGGTTAAACTTCAGCACATTGCACAACCATCTCGACATAGTTTTACCAGCATGGCGTGCTCATCTTGACGTTTATGAAATAAAACATCCATTGTTATAAAATCTATGTTCATTTTGATTTTTTTAATCTACGTTTCAAGACGATTCTAAAGATATAAAATCTCATTTTATGACATGGGCACTTTAACAACAAAGTCACATTATAATTTTATATCACCTATATTTACAGCTGTATAATTTAATTTGGAATGAATTTACCCATCACACAGGGAATTCATTGTTGGAATAAAGAGGGTAATTGTTTTTGAATTAATTCAAAATATAGTTTGTTAAATATTTTAAATATTCATTATTGTTTTGATAAACTGATCTTCTAGCTACTGCACTGGGGCCGGTTGTATGAAAGCCGGATAGCGCTATCCACCGAATAGTGATTTTTTCAATCGCTTCAAAATCGCCCGTTATTTGGCACAACTTTGATTAAATCTCAGTATTCCTAAATCGAGGATCCTCTTTAATAATTGTTGCTTTCAAGCTAAAATTTTATCGCTTTTCGAGCATTTTTAGAACGGTTGAAAAAATCACTATCCGGTGGATAACGCTATCCGGCTTTGATACAACCGGCCCCTGAGCAATAACTATCCATTCCCTGCAACCCAAATGCGAGTTTACTGGTATCTGAAGCTATTTTTCATATTTTCCATGTGTTTGAGACCTCGCAATTAAACGTTTTACATTTGGGATTTTTATTTCATCGCAAGGTTTATAAATCACTAAAATCAGTGTATTTCAATATGTTCACATTAGTGTGTGTGTGCTTGGGGTGTGTGTGTGTGTGTGTATGTAATGCCAGTTACCACAGTATATCACCAAGGCACTTGGAGTGTTACCAATACCACGAAATTGTAAATCATAACCCACTCCTTCGCACTAATAAAAATATACGCATGGGAAATTATAGTATCCAGTATACCAAAAAAAATCTCAAAAAAGCACTCACCATTATATTTCTTCAGTGAGGAATAATTATCTGAAAGGCGTATTTTCATCCGCGGTCTGGAGTCCGTAGTCCGTGGTCCGCGATCCGTGTTTTCCACCAAACCAAAACTGCTTCAATTTCCAGTTCCGGTTCCGGTCCAATATCAGTGTCCAATACTGACACTGAAACCCACCATAACAATAAAAATGTTTTAAGTTATCTTGAAACATCTGTCTCGAAACATGTATTTCTCTTATTAATTTTAATCAATGTTTCGCTGGATTCGACGAGGCAAGTTATATTCAGTTTTCATTCTATATTACCATAAATTGGAAATGTCAATAGAAGGCTTCATTGGAATAGTTTGAAAATTGAAAGGCTCTCGTGCAAAAGTGAAAAACGTCGTATTTGGTGAGTGTTTGGTATGAAATAGGGGAGTAATAAACGAGGACGACATACGGAGATAGCGAGTATTATCACGTGCCTATAAACTCCTGTGTTGTGTGGTCAGTAAGGACATATGACATATCTGGTTTTCAAAAGTATAGTATGCTACGTTTTACGTGCAATTATAATGTCTGCTACACATGATTGGACTTGCCGTCCGTTTGCATATATTTGTACATGTATGTTTGGGGAAAATGGACAAAAATTCATACAGGAAACTGAGAATAGTTCAGTTTATATATCACGTTTGTATTATGATGGCTGCCATTCTTCAATTAGACGTCACAGACAGTGGTCACAGACGTCAACTGAGCTTTCATATGCCGAACCTCATGTTAATGAGCTAAATTGTATAAATAATAAATTGTATTGCAATCAGCAACTGTGTCAGAAATAAGCCTCCCTCGCTGCAAGACGAACAGGTTTCGATTTTCAGCATATTTGGGAAGACTTAATCTTGTATTTTTCGAAGTGAAAAGAATCAAATATTCAAACTTATCTTGTTATGAAATTCCTGCCATAGTCCAGTTTTAAGGGTTCAGTTTCAGAAAAGTTCTTTCTTCTATAAAGCAGCAAAAAATGGACAACCTGCTCATTCGATTGGTCAATAAGCCATTTGGGCTTATCTCTGAATCTCATAGCCCCCCACATTTTTTGATGGCTAAAATTATTGAAATAAAGTCAGTAACTGGCTAACATTTAGGACTTAGCCCCCCCCCCCTCACTCTCTAATATGCTCTGCAGGCCCTAAATCTCCTCTGATTTGTGGGGTCGCCTAACTCATTTGTGCACCATCAGTCTATTTCTTGCATTGTGATTGGTTAGTTTCAATTTCCCGGACTCATTGGAGTGTTGAGCAGGGTGCCTGCCTTACATGAGCTTTTAACAAAGTCTGATTGCTTTGTCTTTGGAATTGCAAAATGAAAGCCAACTTTTCTAAGATGATATGATAATATGAATATAATATATAACTAAAGGTTCTTATCAGAGGAAAAATTGCTGTTGATTATCTGAATTAAAAACTTTACTTCTGCCTGGTTGTTTATTTTTAAAATCAGTAAAATGTTTAGATGAATTTTTTGGGGATGACAGTTTTGGAGGACCAGGGTAATAGTGTGACATTAATAAGGGCACAATAACAAGATGCATGAACATACTTAACTGGAGTGGAAAATGAAGAACCAGTAGCATACAGTTAATTTATAATACTTAATTGCAATGATTATAAGGGATACCTTTGGGATAACTTTGATATGTAAACATAAATGAAACAAATATATAATTTATTACAAAATATTAATCAACATATAACCATTTTTAAAAACCGGTGTATCTGTAAAAACCTGAATCTAATTCATGTAATAGTATTGTATAATTCATTTGGAAGTTTACATCTTGAAATGATTTTCTGCCAGGCAATTCCTTTAACAAAACCACCCCAGGCCAAGCACCCCCGTGCGGCGCTAGATTTTTCTCAGCTGACCTCTGTATAATTGCTAAATGCAACGTTATATCATGTTTTTCCTCTAAAGCGCCTGGATACTACTTGGCTGGTACGCGCGTACGCTAATTACGTATAAAAAGTGTCAGTTCTTTACTAATCCATGGCCAAACACTAAGAGTGACGGCTTTCGATATATGTATGTATGTCTGTAAAGTCTTTATTGGAAATTTAGCCACAACAAACGTGTGACTTTACATGGATAATAATACGACCTTTATGTGTATTAACATGATTCTATAGATTAAAAAATTACAAGTTTATATCAACCGTGTTTAAAAACTATTAAAAAGGCATCTATTTACAAAGCATCGTTTAAACCTTTCTGTTTTAACTTTGGGGAGGATGTAGTCGCGATTCCTTATTTCTTATCTGGCAAGAGTTCATAAAGACTATGTTCAGTATCTTTAATTATTTTTCTAAATAAAGTTTTATCTCTCTCTTCAATTAGCGAAGACGAAGATATTATATTCTTTGGTCGTGTATCCATATCGATTAGCTTGTTTGAAAAATTGATGTATCCGTTTCAAGTATTTCTTCAGCAGTACTGAGCCCCATACTTCGATTGCGTTAGTAAACAAGGATAGGATCAAAGTGTCAAATAATTTGGTCAATTGATCACGAGGGTAACCATATAGTTTGCATACTCTTAAGATATGCATTCGTCCACTAGCTTTAGACAATAAACCGTCTACATGGATATCCTAACAACAAGGATCGTCTTGAAAGCTAACACCAATAAGTGTGAGCCATTCCTTTCGTTCAATCCCTCAATTGGAGGTGGTAACTGATTTTATGATCTCTTACTTTTGACCATTTCCAATGTCTTAGATAGATTTAGAGTCATTCTGTTTTCATATGTCCAATCTCTGATGTTTTTAACTTCGTTAGAAGCGGTATCCCCAGAAATGGTAACCGGTGCACTAACTGTCATGTCATCTGCGAATTTGACCAACATATTTTTATCCGGATCTTTTGGTTTTACATCGTTTACCATCAGAGAAAACAGGAAAGGGCCCAATACAGTACCTTGTGGCACACCTCTATTGATATGGACATATTCCGTCTCGATTCCATTCACCACAACTCTCTGTTTTCGGTTAGATAGAAAATTAATCATCCAGTTTATTATATATGGATTTAGATCAGTTGTTTTCAATTTTTCACAAGCGATATCATGAGGAACGGTGTCGAATGCTTTACTTAGATCAAACGATATAACTCGAACATGTTCGGCATCGTCCTCTAACCATTTCAACCAGTTATGCTGGCACTTAAGAAGAGCAGTTGTAGTGTTTGTACCCACTTTATAGGCAAATTGGTCTTTATCTATTATCTTTTTAGCTTGAGGTGATATTTCTTGCTTGAAAACAATTTTTTCCAAAATTCTCATTATAATATCGGTTAGCGTTATTGGTCTGAGTTGGGAACAATCTTTCGGAATTCTTTCGGAATTGGAGTAATATTAGCAAGTTTCCATTTTAAGGGGACATATTGCTGACTGAGAGAGGAATTTAATATTTTAGTAATTATCGTTGCTAGATATTGTGCATAATCTCTCCATACCCAGTAGGGTAGGCCATCAGGACCAGGCGCAGTACTTTTTGTTTCATCATAAAGCGTTCGACCATATATCAACTACAGGAATACGAGTTCCTTCTGGGATTGGTAAGCGTTCTGGAGTTGAGTAGTTTTTGTCAGTATTTATGGTTTGGAAATGGGAATTCATAAGCTTTGGATCAATAGACAGACTCAAATTATTTACTTTAGTCTTTCTTCCTGTTATCTTATTCATGGTATCCCACCATTTTCGCGACCCTTGTTTATGATTTTTGTTCTCTTCATTGACGAATCGGATTTGATTTAATCGAATTAACTTATTGATTCGCTCTTGAATGTCTGGATTTATTCCTATATTTATTTGTTTATTACGTTATTGCATAGATATATAATGGTAATTGCACTGAGTGGAGTGCAATTTGGTGTGAAATCAAACGCGTGATTACAAAATCGCACGACCCCGAAGTGAGAGTGCGATTTGTAATCACAAGTTTGATTTCACAAGTTTGAAGTACAATTTCCACTTATTATATTCATTTTGAATCCTGCCAAAAATTAAAACAAATTCAATACGATTTATTGCCTGAAAAACGGGTTGATCCAGCACTAGTGCACTAATTTGCATCACAAAATAAAGTGGTTATTTTTGGCAGTTTTCTTGTGTCATGCAAATTAGTTCCCTAGTGCTGGATCCACCCCTGGCCTGAAAGAACCGTAAACGGTGTATATTTCATCTATTTTTTTCAAGAAATTTTGGAGGGCATTTAAAAATTCAAAATAATAAAATTTTGTGCCATTTTCCCCTGTTATTTGATTGGATAGTTACACTGAAATATTAAATCTGGCTTCAATCTTATTGGCTTATAAATGATGTGATTAATGCTCAAAAATAGTGCGATTTGGGAATTAATCATACTATTTTTAACCAATCAGATTGCAAGAAACACCATTGATTTCAAAATCATTCATAATAAATAAGATTATTTAATTGCTTTGTTGACGAAAATTGGTAAAACCAACCTGCTGGGCCACCAAAACCGAAAATAAACAGCGTGGTTGTGGCATGCTGACACATCTGCATCAATTTTTATTTTTTAAATTTATAGTTATCGTCACTTCAGTCATCGCGATTGGAATCAGACGGAAACGATTTCGCCATTGAAAGTCGCCTGTCTTTTGACTGTGTTTCAATTTGTCCTACAAATAAACTCGCATCATCAGCTGACGAAAGTTTCAGAAATTTGGCAAGCTCTTGCTGCACCATATTCTGTTGAATTTATCGCTCATCGATAATTTGAGTCGACATAAATCACAAGATTATTTTAGCCGACAATAGACGACTGAGGCGTACCTACTCATTAGAGGGTAAGTCCAGATGAAAGCGAATAAAGCTCGTCTACGAGGAATTAGAATGAATTAATCAAAATTCGCTCTATCTGCATTTGAAGCGAAAGTATATAAGCTCGCAGAGATATTTTGTTAAAAGTTCGTTGAAAGTCGTTCAAACAACGCACACCCACCCACATTTTGACAAAAACGGCGGTATCTTTTCGTTATTTGTGTACAGCCTGAAGATTCCTGTACAGGTAAACAGACTGTAGAGTGTAGTAGACGATTTTTGGTAAGCAATTGTTTTATATCTGCTCTATCTATAATACTATAAGGTATTAAGCACTCTCTAGTATTTCGTAAACGATCCGAGGGTTTCGCTCAAGGAAAATATCATTACTGAGGGAAATATTTCGCCATCTCCTGAGCGGAGGGTCTGTAACTGATATATTACACCGAAAAATTACACCGACGTGTGGATTCCGCCATATTTGCTGCGAAAATTACACGACGGACTGGGAACGAGCGGCGGAGCGGGGTATTCAAAAGTCGAGTATCCTGCGCAAGCGGGTCTCAAGCGTGGTATTCGAGTGAATACCAAGCCCCGTAATCGCTCAAAAATTCCATGGTCATGTGGTATAAATAGAGATTACTTCATGGTTGGCGAGTACGTACCATTTTTACGAGTTGTGAAGGATCGCAAAGCGAACGAGTGAGTTTCCGATTTTTCACAACGAGTTCATAATAAAAATCGTACAACCAACCAACCATGAAGTGATTTCTTTATTAAATGTGTCTAGAGATCGATTTGACAACGACACGCTTTTAATGAACAAAAATACAGCGAGCAAAAAAAATCGAAATTTTATGCATTGACATATTTATTACCGTTCAGTTTCTTTGTAATTTTGTTCAATAGAAGATATCGTTTTTATACATAATTATTCCTAATTATGTTGTATCGATTAACGTAGTTTAACTTTTTGGTTACAAAATCAATCTTTTTATATAATGAAAATTTCATTTTGATACCCTGCCAAATATTTATTATTGCACCAATTATTTCAAAAAAAATGTATTGAGCCACTTCGATTACACTATCAGGAATTTAAACACTGTATAAATGAAATAGGTTATGGATTTTCTCGCATTGTTAACAATATATTACTTTCTTTTGAAGAATTCTATTTCACTAAAAATGAATTGGTCGAACGAACGCAACAACTGGCTAACCGTTGGAGAAATAATCAGATTGATTAAGGAACCCGTCGCATTGTACACCAGCAATATCATAGAAAAATGGCATGCAAAGCTGTGTGGTTCTTTGCCAGGCAAATGCTCAAACCCTGGAGATTGTGTAAGGAAAAAGAAATGCAATGACCTGTGTCTCTCTTGCAAAGGATGGTACGATAAGCTTGTGAAATCGCATGGGAATAAAGATAAGCGACAAATCAAATGGCGCGAAAACTGCGACACATCAAAGTGGCCGAATGACCCTTGGGAGGTTGCCAAGTTCTTTATGCCTGCTCTTGGAAACAATAAAATAACCGTTAAAAACGCCGACTCTACTGATTTATCATCTCTTCTAAACGTCCTTGCGTGGATGGAAAATGCAGCCTTTGCTCCAGACAGACGTGTTGATCTTAACCTCGTCACACAGCTCCGTTCAGAGGTTAGAAACCGTTGGGCTCATGCACCTGATCAAGAACTGGCTGACGCCACTCTTAAAGATGCTTTTGATATTGCTAAAAACTTTGTTCGTGACCTAGACAGAGTTTTCAGTTGTGACGAACTCAAGAAATGTATAGAAGATATCGAAGTTTTGAAAGCTAAAGGGCTAAGCAATGCTACGGAGGAGATACTGAATTTTCTGCGCGTTGAGTTATGCGCAGATGTCAGTCAGATGAAAGATGATCGAAGTTCTGACAGGCAGGTAATAAAGAACCTAGAAGAAAAGTTGGAATTATTGGAAAAAGATATTGAGTCATTACATCGCGTGGTCAACGTTCAAGTAAGACAAGACAGCTGCATTCCTGACAAACCCGAAACTTTTATTGGCCGAGACGCCATCGTAAAGACAATAACGTCTTCCTTGGTGGAGAAAGGGGGCTGTGGGATTGCCACCATTGTGGGTGGACCAGGTTTTGGGAAGAGCACTGTTGCAGTTGAAGTTTCCCATTGCTTGAGAAATGATCATGATATTGTCGTTATTTTCTCATATCTGCGAAATATTGCAACTGTTCCCGAAGTGATACTACGTCTTTGTCATGACGTTGGCGTTAATCCTGGAGATGATTCTAAATCTTCGTTGATGTTTTGGTTGAAGAGCATTGAGAAGAATGTTGTTCTTGTCATGGACAACATCGAGCAGCTACTTGAGAGCGATGTGAAGTCTCAGTTTAATGATTTACTGCTTACGCTGCGAAAAAATTCACGCTTACATTTGCAGATCCTAACAACTTCAAGAACGAAATTCGTAATCCTTGGGCACACCGTCTTAAATCACCAACTGGAAGAGTTGGATGAAAAATCTAGCATCGAACTTTTGAAAATGTGTTGTCCTGATATAGAAAGTGAGAATGCATACCTACCTGAATTGGCTAAGCTTTGTGGTTTTGTACCACTCGCTTTGTGTATCGCAGGATCGAGAATTCAAGGTGGGGATAATCTTTTGGAGTTAATACAGTGGTTGAAAGAAATGCCGATGGACACACTGAGGAATTCTGATCACTGTGTGCAACAAACCTTCGAGTTCTCTTTTCAAAAACTGAGTGATGAAGATAAAAAAGCGTTCGTTTACCTCTCGGTATTTGAAGGGAGTTTCCAAAGAGACTCTGCGAAAGCAGTAATTCAGAGAGGTGAGTTGCAAACCGAGAATTTCTTAGAATTACTGGTGGGACGAAGTCTAGTACAGAAAACTATCGAAAGGCGCTTTGTGATTCATTCGCTTATACGCCGATTCCTTAGTGATCATGACCAATTTCAAGATGAAAAAGCAGTGGCTCAAGGATTAATGGTGAGTCATTTTCTAAAGATGTGCCATTCGTTGACGATGGATTGTTACTCGCATAACGGATTCACCAGCGCTAGGGAGTCACTGAAAAAGAATATTCAAAATATAGAGAAAACGCACAAAATTTGCAGCCAAGATCTGGCAACCAATTCAAACCCAAATATCTCTGAGCATTTGGCCAGTAGTGATATTTACAAGTTTTCGTACAGATTTTTCCACAATTTCAGCTGGGATCTTCTTCCAGAAACGGTGTTAAAGAATTTTTTTAAATCCTGTATTAGCCTGGCTGAAAGTACAAATGAACCAGTTATCAAGATCCTATTCCAATGTTTGGCAGCAGATCAAGAAGGTCGTAAATCAGCATGGAAGTCTGAGGAATACGCTGGCCTAATTCAGAAAATCGAGGCAGCGTTTGAGAAAAATAAAGCAGCATTGAAAGAAGATAGATTCGTATTTATGTTTTGCTATCAGTTACTCGCCCGATACCAGTTTAATAACTCATCAAATTGCTTACCGGCGGATCCTACCAAAGATGGTCTTCCTTCTTTGCCTGAAAACAAAGTTCTTCGTCCGATTGAAAAAGTGGCGGAGGCATATATTCTTATGAAACGTGGGAATATAAGCAAAATGTATGCAACAAAAAGGTCTAATAAAGTGAATAAAAAGACGAAAAAAAAGGACAAAGAATACAGGAACTTCGCAAAATCATTTTACAATGATGCTTTATCTTTAGCTAAAGAGGTGTTAGGCGATCACGCATTAACATGCTCTCTCCTTAAACATGTAGGAGACGTATGCTTTAACTGGGGTAAGAAAGATACGGCAATGACTTACTATAGCGAAGCCGTGAATCTTCACAAGAAACTAAAACTTGACTCTAATGAGCAGTTTGTAATGTTGCTAAAGAATTGCGGAGGGTGTCTTTCGTTCCTTCGCTGCTTCGACAAATCTGTTGAAACACTAAAGGAAGCTCGTGACATCGCTGACAAGATCGCTGAGGAGCACACCCTTTGTAAAGCCAAGGTGAATTGTCAGTTAGCAATAACTTTTAGTTCCTGGAAATCTGATTGCCAAGAAGCCGTACAATATGCAAAGGAGGCAAAGGAGATGCTAGATTTGCTGAACTCACGCGACAAAGAAATACTGGAAAAGATTATTAAATCGGCAGAAGAATATAAGGCGGTGCAAAGTATCGTAGATTCATTGCCGGAAGTCATCACCAATCACAGATCTGATGGAAGGTTCCGACTGAATAGCTGCATACCTAAGAAAACCCCGAAATTTACTGGCCATTGCACTATAGTGAAAGAAGTGATATCCTCAATCGTGGAGAATGGCTGTGAAATTGTCTCTTTAGTTGGACCACCGGGTATCGGCAAGACTACAGTTGCCATTGAAATTTCCCACCACTTAAGAGAAGAACATGACATCGTCGTCATTTTCTCGTGCCTGTCATATGCTGTAACTGTCCCTGAAGTACTACAACGCATTTGTCACGACGTTGGCGTTAATCCTGTAGCAGATCCTGAGTCATCGTTGACGTTCTGGTTGAAGAGTATTGAAAGAAAGGTTGTCCTTGTCATGGACAACATCGAACAACTCCTCGAAAGCGATGTAAAATCTTATTTCATTGAATTACTGCTTACCCTTCGCAAAATTTCATCGAAAAATTTGCAGATTTTAACGACGTCAAGAACCCAATTCGTTATTCCAGAACAAACATCATCGGTAAACCATCATATTCAAGAGTTAGACGAAAGCTCAAGTGTCGAACTTTTGAGAAAGTGTTGCCTTGATGAAAACGTTCAAGAAGCGTATTTGTCTAAATTGGCTAAGCGGTGTGCCTTCGTCCCACTGGCCTTGTGTGTCACAGGAACACTAGTTCTAGATCCTCATGGTGTTTCAGAGTCGATACAGTGGTTGAAAAAGAATTGTGCTTCAGGGAACGTCGACCACCGTGTTCAAAAAGCAATCCAATTATCTTTTCAGAAGTTGAGTAAAGAAGATCAGAAAGCATTGGTCCGTCTGTCGGTATTTGATGGGAATTTTGCAACAGGTTCTGCAGAAGAGGTAATTGAAAAAAGCGAGTCTAAAACCATGGAATTTTTGGAAATTCTTGTTCGCCAAAGCTTAATACAGAGGTTCAGTGATAAGCGCTTCGTGATTCATTCGCTAATTCGACAGTTCCTGATTAATGATGACCAATTTCAAGATGAAAAGGAAAGGGCACAAAGACTTATGGTGAGACATTTTCTAAAAATGTGCCATTCGTTGACCTTGAGATGTTTTTCAAATAACGGATTTACTAGCGCTAGGGACTCACTGAGGGAAGACATTCACAATGTCGAGAAAACGTTGAGGATCTGCAGCCATGATGAAGCAACGAAAATATTAAAACGTAGTGATATTTACAATTCTACATGTTGGTTCTTCTACAGCTTCAGCTGGGATCTTCTTCAAGGAACAGTTTTGAGCGATTTCTTTGAATTTTGTATTAAATTGGCCGAAAGTCGAAAGCCAACAGCTATTGAGATCACATTTCGATGTTTGGTAGCAAATCAGGAAGGACATAAATCGGCATGGAAGTCTCCTGAATATTTTGACCGAGTGAATGACATCGCGGTGGCGTTGCAAAAGAATAAAACGTTACTAAGAAAGGACAGGTCCTTATTTACGTTTTGCTACTGTATTTTTGCTCGGTTTGACTCGAAAAAAGCAAAAATTGCAGCCCCTCCTAATCTTTCAGAAAAGGATTTTCCGCCTTTACAAGAAAATCAATCAGCAAGCCCTATCGAGAAAGCAGCTGAAGCATATTTTCTTATGGAGCGTGGAAGTGTAAACAAGAAAGACGCAAATAAAGTATTCCGTATAAACAGAGAAAAGTACAATGAAAAGTACAATTGTGCAGAAAAATTTCACAAGCAAGCTTTGTCGTTAGCTAAAGAGTTTTTCGGTGACCACGAATTAACATGCGTTCTACACAAACGGTTAGGAGACTTATATTTTGACCTGCATAAAACCAACGAAGCAATGATACACTATTCTGATGCCATAATACTCCGCAAGAAACTGAAAATTGATTCAAACGAGCACTTTGCGTTCTTGCTCAAGAGTTGTGGGGCGTGCCTTTCTTATCTTGGTCACTTTGATGAATCAGTGGCAATGTTAAAGAAAGCTCGCGACATGGTTGGCAAGCATACTTATTGTAGAGCCTCCATGAATTATGCGTTAGCGAAAGCGTGTCGTGCCTGGAAATCCGATTGCCAAGAAGCCGCGGGATATGCTAAAGAGGCAATGGATATGCAGGAATTGTTGGAATCGCACACAGAAGAAACATTAAAAAAGATTATTCAAACGGCAAAAGAATCCTTGAATAGCCTTGAAATTTAATTTCATGCTGTTAATTGAACTTATCATGCACGTTTACTTGTTGATGTTTTACGATATTCATGTTTCACTTTGCGATATTGGTGCAGCTTTTATTAGTTCTAACACTATCTCAGCCAGAGTGTATTTTAGATTAAATCGATATATATATATATATATATATATATATATATATATATATATATATATATATATATATATATATATATATATATATATATATATATGTACGAACGTAACTGAAAAACTCGTAAACAATGATATTTTAAGGGATGAGTACATTAGTACATTACATACATAATTCTACACTAATTTTCGGTTCATAATTTATCTCAAGTTTTTTCATAATTTTCATAAAAATATAAATAAGCAATTTTTTGATCAGTTATATAATTATATGGTTTAGTTACATTCACGACAATTATTATGTTAACAGTCTTAAGCACAGTGATTTTAAATATTTATTGCAATGATCAAATAAGATAGGTGGAGTTGTCAGCAAAATGAAAGAAGTTTAAAAGATGATCAGAGTTCCGATAGGCAGGCTATTAAAAAACTGGAAGAGAAATTGGAGATTAATTATAAGTCATTACAAGATTTTCAAAGCCTCATTCCTGACAACCAACAAACGTTTGTTGGCTGCAAAATTGAATATCAAATATTATCTTTCTTGGAATGATAGTGGAATTGTCTCTATTGTTGGTGGACCTGGCTTTGGGAAGAGCCCGTTGGCAGTTGAAGCTTTGAATCACCTAAGCAATCAGCATGGGTTTGTCGTTATTTTTTTCTTTTTTATCGTATGTTTCAACTGTTCCTGGTGTGAGACTACGTCTTTGTCATGACTTTGGTATTAATCTTGGAGAGATTCCGGAACCATCGTTGATGTTTCTGTTAAAGAGTAGCGAGAAGAAAGTTGTCCGTGTCATGGATAACACCGAGCAGCTGCTTGCATAAAAGGTTGGATGAATTTTTTAGTGACGAAAAAGTGTAGCCCGAATGATTTTGAGAACGACGAAGATCAGTAGAAAGTATTGGTTTGTCTTTGGTATTTGTTGGGAAATTTCTCTCTGATTCTTTGCCGATCATGCCCAATAACAGGATGAGAGGGCATTGGCACAAGTCTAATGATAAAACATTTTCTAAAGCTATGTCATTCCTTGACCGTAAATAGTTATTCAGTTAACGGTTGAAAAAAGATCATGCAATGTCGAGAAAATGCTAAAAATATTATGCAGTCAAAACCAGGCAACTAACCTAAAGTCTAAACCGGGATATTTGCGAATTATTGGAAAGTAGTGATATTTTCAAGCTTCATACAGGTTTTTCCACAACTTTAGCTGTGATATTCTCGCAGAAATGGTTTACAAGCAAGCTCCATCGTTAGCCTAAGAACGTCAGGCGATCACAGACAAACTAACATATATAATGTGCTCTCCATAAGCTTTTGGGCACTTTTGTTTTAACTGCGAATTACATTTATTCAATAAATCTGTACAAAACCCCGAAAGTTGATGGTGTCGTGCAATGTGTTAAACCACCCATGCATGCGAGATCTGCATATTTTGACCTGCGTAAGACCAACGAAGAGACCAACGAAGAGATCACGTACCATGCCTTTCGCTTCTTCATCGCTTCGCCTTTAATGAATCAACGGAAACACTAGTAGAAGCTCGCGCGACAAAGCTGTGAAGTGCGCTCAGAGAAACCCACCTTACATAGCTTCGTTGTATTTTGCGTTAGCAAGAACTTGTTGTGACTCGAAACTTGATTGCCATGAAGCCAAAGTATGTGCTAAAGAAGAAATGAAGATGCAAGAGTTGTTGGATTCACGAAAAGTAGCAGAGGAATATGTTACATGATATCTCCAGCGATCTATCTTCCAACTAAAAAACCCTGATTCCGGACACACCACAAACATGTATTGATCGTGACACTATTGTAAGGCGAATAATATTTTTCTTGCTTGAAAATGGCAGTGTGATTGCCTCTATATTAGCTTTACCAGGTTTTGGGAAAAGCAGTTGCAGTTGAAGTTTCCTATATCACCTAATCAAAGACCATAATATTTTCTCCCATGTTCTCATTTTTGTCGCATGCGCTTCAGCTATCCCTGGGAGTAGACAGCGTGTTTGTTCTGGTTTAAGAAGATTCAGAAGAAAGTTGTTCATTGTTATAATTTGTGGAAATCATCGAGAAGCTGCTTGGAAGCAATGTAAACCCCCCGTTCACTGAATTAGTACATAATCCGGCCCCCTAGAAATTCACGCGAACATTTGCAGATCCTGACAACGTCAAGAAACAAATTCGCAACTAATGGCAGGACACACCGTTGTTAACCTCCAACTATAGAACAGTTTGATAAAAAAATCTAGTATCGAACTTTGAGAAGGCGTTTTCCTCATGAAGAAATTAAAGATGACCACTTGTCTAAGGTAAGCTAATAGAGAAAAGCGAGTTTTAAAACCGTGGAAATTTTATTTAAGCTAGTTAGTCGCTATAATATTCTTGTATGTTTGCATGGTGACGTCAATAAGTAAATTAGCTTATAAGTTCACCCCGTAAGTATTTAATAGGCTACTTTTTGGCAGTATTAAATACTTACGTGGTGTACCTACAAGCTAATCCACTTAGTTAGTCGCTGTTTAATACAAGATACTAGTGATAAGCGCTTCATGATTCATCCGTTAATATTGCAGTTCTTCTTTGATCATGACTAATTTTAGGTTGAACAGGCGCCGGGTGGCTTTATTAAATATGCACCTTTTATGGCCCGCAACATGTTATAATTTCCGGTCATGCTTTATAACTATACATCTTGCTATTGTAAAACAGCGAAAAGTACTTCCAAACCTTGAATTGTCCCCTGTACTTTACTTTAACCAAATAATCATTGAAGGATAGTTGCAAGATCGGTTCACTTTGCAAGATCGGTTCAGTGAACACTGCACAAAATAAGTCGTTTTTCACAAAGTGCACTGTCCTATATGCAACGTGAAAATAATCCTAAGGATGCACGATATGACTTTCGGGAACCGAATCCACTTCAAGAGAATTTAGTTTTTAACATTTCATCCTCCTATTATGGGGATGACTTAATTTCGTAGACTTACGTATGCCTTGCATGCCAGAAAAAGGGGGGCGCCTTTTCTAGGACTAAGGGGAGAAAGGGGGGCGCCTTTTCTAAGACTAAGGGAGAAAGGCGGGCGCCTTTTCTAAGACTAAGGGGAGAAAGGGGGGCGCCTTTTCTAAGACTAAGGGGAGCAAGGGTGGCGACGGTGAATTAATATTATTTGTATTAATTAAATAATATTATTCCATTGAGACCCCGTTTACACTAGAACGAAAGTTTCCGGATTTGTAAAATTTTCCGGATTCATTGTTACACACATGTATCGGATTCGTCAGGTGTTTACACTACACTTTAGTTTTCTCTGTATGCGGATTTGTCGGTTTACACTCACATTATACTTGTTCTTGGAGAATTGTTTGGTCGTCACGTTTGAATTTCTTCGGATTCGTCGTACAAAGCGTTTGCACAAGAAAATTTTCCGGATTCAAATGTTTCTGGATACGAAGTTTCCACAAACTTTTACGGATTCAAAGTTTCCGGATATATACGGCTTAAAACTGAGTACATTTTCTATCGGATTCGTTGCTGCGTGTGTAAACAGCAACATGAATCCGGTACTAAAACATTCCGCTTTCGTGATGAATCCGAAAACTTTCGCTCTAGTGTAAACGGGGTCTGAAAGTCGAGAGGTAAAATGCTTAGAAGATAAGGTCGCAAGGCCGCTAGGTTCTAGGCTAAGTATCCTATTCAAGTACGTTCGTGAAGTTTAAATTTGGAATGCCATTAAAATTCATACCAAAGAGTGTCGCTACGAATTTTCTACTGACTACCCGGGATTGCCCTTTATCGCTCCGACGTCTCTGTTCTCAAAGCATACGTCACTCTAATGGGGCAGTAATTCGGGATTTAGCTTCAGCCTTCGGCCTGGGATTTGCAGTCAAAAGTATTCAGAAAATATGAATGATAATTCAAGCATCTTGTCGAATTAATAGAAGAAATGTTTGACGTCTAATCAGTATAAACGTTTAAACTTGTTGTTAATCTTTCATGCCTCTGCATGATAATATCCATACATCTTCCATTTTAAAAAATTTAAAAGCATTCGTTCATGCCATTTCCTTGCAATATCCATTTATTATATGAACATGATTGTTATACGGAGTTTTTCGCCACTGAGAAAAATCTTGTTCGATGCCGCATGGTAAACTATCGTATTAAAATATGGCATGTTGCATGTTAAATCGTTCACGTCTCATTTTTTTATTGTAATAGGTCTAGCTATTATTTAATATTGAATGGTCAGAAATGATGTCAAGAAAAACTTGGGAACATTGCTGGTTTTCTATTTCCACTCGGAAACCTCAACTCGCGTCGCATAATTTGAAGCAATATTTTCTTAATTTGAATTGAATAGATGAGTTATTTTGAGTTTATGTGTTTTAGTCTTAGACCTGCTGATCGCGTCTGTTTAGCGACAAGGGCAGACTTATCTTCACAAAAAGATAAACTGGTATAAAGTTCTCGTTTTTTCACCCTAATTGCTATCACTTTTGTATCATTCACGACAACTGGCGCCACACGAATGTTAATCCCATATTAAATGCCATCCTCTCACAGTTCACAGTTTTCGTGTAAAACAATCATATTAAAATATTGCATTTCGCATGTTGAATCGTTCACGTCTCGTTTTTTTATTGTAATAGGTTCAGCTATATTGTTTATTGAAAGGTTATAGAAAGGTATAAAGAAAAACTTGGGAACGTTGCTGGTTTTTTATTTCCACTCGGAAACCTCAACTCGCGTCGCGTGACCGTGACGTAACCAGTTACACCATGAAACCAAATGTTAAAAAAAATCGACAATCGATCAACGCCTGTTGACAATCTAGGCAAATACGCATACCTTGAGCTTTCTTTCCTTCAACACAGATTCATGCACTAACGAAGGCCCGGGAAAGCTTACATGTGGGCGATACCCTAACAAACGTATAAGAACAATGTGTTTTACCGTAGCGGGGATATCGCAAATCTTGCTTTCCAAGATC